ATTATTATCTTACTAACAATTCTCTTTTTTTATCAATTTATTATAGTTTCTTGGCCCTACTAAGCATTACTGGAAGTATATTATATTTTGTTTGTCATTCATATTATTGTATTCTATACATTACTAATGATTTTATATTATTTTATTAGGCTTTTCTACCAATTTTATAATCTGATTATTCATCACTCACCACTCTAAAATTTTTTTTATTGTTATGCTTTCGACCTATATTTGATTTGATATATGTGTCTTGCAAATTTATTCAATTTTATTATACTTGATCTGAACCTGATTTATGTCTAATTTGGTGTATGTTTTGAAAATTTATTCAATCTTGAAGCAGGTTCTAGAGGGGAAATCATTAATTATTATACTTGATCTAAAACCTTATTTTATTGTTGTACTTTCAATCCATGCCCAATTTGATGTATACTTTGCGAATTATTTAATCTTAGAGCAACTTCAAACAAGTTCTAAAAAGATAATTATTAATTATTATATTTGATATAAAATCTTATTAATTGTTATACTTTTTGATCTATACTCGATTTGGTATATAATTTGTGATTTTATTTAATCTTGGAGCAGATCCCAACAGGTTCAAGTGGAGATAATTGTTAATCGTTATACTTAATCTAAAACTTGATTTTATTGTTGTGTTTTCTACTTGGTGCATGCCTTTTGCAAATTTATTCAATCGTGAAGCAGATTTAAATAGGTTTTAGAGATAATAATTATTGATCATACTTGAATTATATTATTTCTATTTTTTCCTGTGTAGTATGTTACAAAATAAGAAACTGTTTTATATTATTTTTATTATTATTCTTATATATCTTTTCTTTAATATACCTAATGATCTACATTATTATATATATACATGTTTATTAGCTTGCAACTTTCAATATAATTCTTTATTTTATTAACCCAACCCTCTTTTTCTTGATTGCAGTAACTATGTAAAATGTATTCTAATATGTATTGTATATTGTGAGTTTTAATCGGATGTTAAATATAATATAAACTTGCAATAAATACATAATTGTTTATCTGATTTAAACAATATATAAATAATTTACTCTTCTATTTGTAACTTTCACCTGTGACTTTCTTCTCATTATTTATTGCAAACAACAAACCAAAATTCTCATTTATAATATCTAAAATAACTAATTATCAAATATATACAGCAATACAATCTCTTGAAGATCTTGTAAAGTTACAATACATTGAACAACAAAAATAACTAGATGATCAGGATCAACTATTGAAAAATATTGAAAAAAAAATCAGATTACAATTTGCAAATCAACAAAATAAAATAAATAAATTGACCAATATTGTTCACAAAGAGAATTTGATAGTCTGAAGAAGATAATAACAGAAAATTAGTCAATATGATTAATGCTGAATTAGTTAGTCTAAATAATCATAACAGCCTTATTAGTGACAAGTTGAATACTTTTGAAGAGTTGTTGAAGGTCATAATAATACTAATAACAAAAGTAATTATTATTCTTCATTTTGGTATCCAAAAGCTATTAAACAAATTAAAAAGGGCTTATAATGAACAAAATAAAGAAAATCTATTCAGAATGAAGAATTAATTGCAGATACAAGATTCTTTTATCATGAAACACACCCTACTTTAGTTCGTTACCTTTATCACAAGATCAAATTGCATCATAAAAAAAAATTGTGTATGATAATAAAACTTTGCCTGCAAATCAAACAGTTGGTGAAGAATATCTTTCAGATATTACCAATACACCTACTGCTGAAAATAATCTAATTATTATTGAATGATATGTAGATTATTTTATAAAAGATTGGGAAGTTCGCAAAAATACTAATAGTATTAGTAATTCCTTATTTTAGTTTCTTTTTTTCAATTGTTATATATAAATATTTTTTTTTAAGAATTAGCATCTGAATAATCTTGGATACATGAAGTGATTACAGATATATATATTTGCACTTTTATGTATATAAACTAATTGTTATACGTATATACTGCACGTAAATATTACTGTAATCATAATTTACTAAATAAGGTAATATGAAAATTAATAATATAATATAAATAAAATTAAAACATGATATAAAAACTATATATATTTATTATAAATATTGAATAAACAATAATAGAAATTTGTATTTATACAATATTTAAATTTTATTTTAATAATATTTATATAGTATTTGAAACTTAATTTAATGATATTTGAATATTATTTTAAAAATATTTATATGATATTCAAATTTTATTTTAATTAATATTTATTTTATATTTATATGATATTTGAATCTTGTTTAATAAAATCTATTTACATTTATAATTATATTTATTGCTTGTTTAATTTATATTTATAATTATTTTTTAAATAGTTAAATGATATTTAATAATAAATAAACATAGTCAAAATAATATATTATTTTATCTACATATAACTAACATTTGAATTATATTTTTTAAATATTTTTAGTAAATTTGTTTGATATTTTATCTAGACTAAACATCTCTTTTTTGACTAGTATTGACTTCCTTAAATATTTGCAATAATAGATTGATTTTAAGAAGAAATACTTGCAAGTGCGTTTTGTATAAATATATTTTGAATCTTCAAATATTGGTTATAATAAAGTTGGTTTTAGTAGAGAAGACATATTTGCAGATACACTTGGCATAAATACTACTCTGAGATCATTAGATATTTATAGAAGTCAACTTGGTTCTAAAGAGGCAAAAGCACTAGCTGAAGCACTTTGTAAAAATATTACTTCTTTAAATACATATTAGCTTTAATAAAGAAGAAATTGATATTAGCAGAGTCCTTTGCTTAAACACTACTCTAATTTTACTCGATTTTTGTAAAAATATTACTTCTTTAAATATTAGCTTTAATAAGAAAGAATAATATTAGAAGAGTCCTTTGCTTAAACACTACCCTAAGTTCACTAGATTTTTACATAATGATCTTGATTTTAAAACTAGAAAGGCCTTAGTGGAAGCCCTTTATAAAAATAGTACATTGATCACTTAAATATTTGTTACAATCAAATTAGTTTCAAAAGCTGCAAAAGTTCAAATAAGTGTATTATAATTTTCTTATAAACATTATACATATTAATATATTTATTTGATTTACATGAAAAATAGTACTATTAAAATTATCAATAAAAATAGTTGTTCATAAGATATACAAAAGATAGTGCATGCACCATTTTCTTAATTAAAAATTTTGCTAAATTAGCATGAATAAAATACTTTGTATTAAATGAGTACTGTTGTTAGGCAAACCATTTTTGGCAAATGGCAAAAGATAA